TGAGCCATAAGGACTGTGCGTGGTCCGAGATCTCACAGCCTCTTCTTCTGGTGAGAACAGATCAAATGCAGACCCCTGACACCTCTTAATACCCTTGGCTGCAGCTATAAAACTGTTACAGAGAAAGCCAGAGCTTTCCTTCTGACGTGATGATAAGGATCAGATTTTCTCCCCAGGATAGTGCAGTTCACATTTGCTTACGTTGAGGAGTAAAATGTGGTGTCATGAACACAACTTCAAATACTTTGAATGTTTAGAAACACAAGAAGATAAATTACCAACACATCCATCACTTACATTTAGATTACTTAGGCCAGCTGTGCTTTATGCACCTTCTCGTAAGAAAAAATTGATTTTCAGATATGCATAGGCTGTGCTTTTAGTTTATGTATAATGCAAATGAAGGGATAAGCTGGCTAGAAGCAAAATCAGAGTTTAGATTGGCTGTTTATAAGGGTGACATTTCCTTAAAAGACTTCCTTTTTTTTTTTTCAACCCTGCACATCATAAAGATGTTAAATCCTCATCGACTTCTGAAAACACAGCTCTGGGAGGACAAAGGATGATATATTCTTAACGAGTGTGTAAAGTATAGTAGTTTTAAAGACAATAAATGCAAGGTCGTATTAGGGCAAAGCAGTTAATTACCCACTTCATTATTGTCAAGGTTAATACAGTATTTGAGCACAGAAGCTGTTTTTCATCTCCTCTTGGAAACAAGGCAAGACAGCATTTCTTACAGACAGATCCATTATAGCTTATCACCGGAGGACAGACCACTACAGAAACAGCATGAAGGATGTCTACTGTCACCGGGCTCCAGAGCAAGCACCAAACCTGTCCAGGGAGCCATGGAAATGGAGAGAGCTGCGGCTTCAGCATACCACGCTTTAACTCACAGGGATTGCACTCCACTGATTTCAGCATGTGACGGTGATGGTAGCATAAAATTCACTGGCACTCCTTCGGCTCGTGTAACATTGATCCCTCCTAATTGCACAACGCACTGAAAAACATTCTTTAATAGACGTGGGGTGTTGACTGTGGTGAATCCCCTCTTTCCGTGGTGAACCCAGTGAAAGATGTACCTGCAGAAGGGCTCAGTCTCTGTTTTTCATGCGTGCTGGGTGTTGTATAGGCTTCCATTACTTGATCTCAGTAGAAACAAAGGCTTCATAAATCTTACCCCCGTCAGTCTTCGCATGTGATGCTTTGCTTTTAACTATCTACTTTACCTGCAGCGACTTCAAGAATCATTTAAGTTCAAAAATTTGGAGACCAGTAAAGGGGTTAAAAAAATTTTAAGAAAATTTCTATATAAATTCAGATGAGGAAAAATGGAATTCCCTCTTTATGTGAAAACATGATTTCTTTTTTTCAGCCTATAAAGCCTTTAAAATTGCAAAAACTAGTCTAGTACCTATGACTAATTACCAGGATAACTGTTTATATTACTCTAAATGTGGCTTTTTTTCAGTTACATTTTCTTTCAAATTTTTTGTTTTGCTTTTTACGTTAGAGATAGAATTTTCCATTTCTTGTGATTTCTACTGTTGTATTTCAGTCCCAGGAGGTTTCCCCTCCTCTTGCCGATGCAGCACACGGCCTGGTGGTGCAATGACCGGGATCTGCATTCCCAAACCGAGACCCCCACCTCAGCAACTTCCACTGAGGCCGTATATTTGAACCTGGGTACATTAGGCTTTTTTGCTTTGGGAATTTCATTGTGGCAGTTTTCAATCTCTGGCTTCTTTCTGCAAATACTGCATTTCACAGGGAAGTCGCAGGTGCTGGTGAGCCCCTGACACACACCTCCTCTGTGGTAAATGACTTCAGGACAGGTTTACGTGGCCCAACATATGTTTCATTTTTCGCAATCATCTTCTTTGTTTTTTTAATTTTTTATGCTCTGTGGGCATCCTTACAGAGTAATTACTCTTATAGAATAATACCTGCTTTGGGATTTTAATTTGGTTTTTAAGCCTAGTAAATTGTGCTGAATTGACTCTGCCCACCAGGGAGGCATCCACTGTATTTCAGATTTGTGTATAAACATTTAAAGTTCTATTCAAATAGCAAAGTACTCAATAATGTAGTGTATCTCAGAGGGGCTCAGTGAAACACTTTCTAAATTATCTGCTCTATGGACACCGCTGTTCTTTTGATAGGAATAATGATGGATGTTTCCTTGAAAAAAAACAAGCTCATATAGACTAATTTAGCCAAAGGGGCATCTCACCAAAACGTGTGTCTTTTCACATAAGGGAAGTTAATTTAAAAATGAACCAAAGCAAATGGATATATTGTTGTTGCTATTAACTGTAATAATTAATTGTTAATAATATTAATAATTGTTGTGAACAATAACAAAGAAGTGACTATTCTGTAGAAAACGTCCCTCTGGCATAGGCAAGTTTTATCCTCCTTTTGTGCTGGTCCCTTTAATTTACTTGTAGAGAGGAGCCTGAAGCAAATCGAAATTGCAACCATCACCCTTGCAATACGTGTCTGCCAGTGGCCATCCTCAGAGTGCTGGGAGAAAACAAAAGGTTTTTAGGTATTTTTTTCCCTTAACTTCATCAGTCAGGATGAGATGGCAGTGAAGTCCCAGAGCTAACCAAGACTGCTTCATCGGACTGGGGCTTTGGTGGCAAATGGTTTTTTGGGAAAACCTGAGTTTCCTACAAGACCATTTTACTATTAGTACTTTTTTTTAAAATTCTCGTAATCAAAAAGGTGGCTTCCAAGCATGTACCTGTCTGCAGAAAATCCCTAAACTGCAGGGTTTCGTCATCAGTGAATTCACTAGCACTTAAACCCTCAACTGCGTCCTTCTAAACCTTCCTTCTGATGTGGGCTTAGATAGCTGTATGTGCTTCTTCCACCCCTGCAAATCCCATGGGCATCTTTATGATAAAATCCTGCATCCAGAGAGCATCTGGTTGGAGGAGCAGAGAGAGAACTCCTCTTTCCTATAACCGAGGAGGCAGCTCTGCTCCCAGGGGCCCCCTCCAGCTCCAAGGGCCTTTTGTGCCAGCACAACGCAGGTTGCTCCAGGAAACCTCTCCTTTGTGAAGGCCAGTCCCACCGAGAGTATTCAGTTGGCATTTTACTCCTTGGCATGCGTTTGCACAGGGGAAACGGGGTGGCAGTTGGGTATTTCAATCTTGTTTTCAATTATAAGCATTTCATTGTCGAGTGTTGCTGGTTTATTATGTGATAATTAAATATGAATGATCACGCAGTCATTCTGCCAAAGAGGCTGTAGCTGAACGAAACCAATTCCTCCCGTCCTGCTGAATGGTTTCAGAGGCAAAAGGAGTGATCTATTTGCTGTCCCTTATTTTCACTGTCCTATTGTTTCGGTATCGCTAGCTTCAAAATAGCAAACCAGGCAAGTAATTACGGACATAAATCAGAGCAGGGATCAGTGTGAGGTCAGGACTGCTTTGCTTGTAACCCAGCTTTACACAGCTGCCTTTTGCTGGATAACAGAGAAGTACATTGTTTTTAATTTTGTGAAAAAGTGATTTTATTAGTGATGAAATGCATGTTTTGACAAAGTTTGAGCCCGTGTGTGCTTTCGAGCAGGGGTTGAGCAGCCTCACCGTGCCTGGAGCAGAGCCTCCTCTGCCAGCGTTGTATGAATGAAGGGCTGGTGGCCAGGCTGGACACTGCAGTCGGCATCTGATGTGCTGTGGTTGGCATCTGGTGTGCCCCAGTTGGCATCCAATATGCCATGGTCAGTGCTTGATGTGCCACAGTTGGTGTTGAGGAGGCCCCAGGCGGCATGCAGCTCGGGCAGGCTGCAGCTCGCAGGGGACATCTCCTTGGAGTGACCACAGTGACTCTGTCTGAAAACTCGGCGAGTTAGATGAGATACAGCCACAGACATTCAGCTGAGGCGAATCAGCAAAGCAAATGTGTTTTCAGCAGAGCCGCGCTGATCTATGGCCCTGTCCTTAATCTTATCCCTGTGGGGTGTTTATAAACGTGACACGGTGCTCAATGAGAGTCACATGCTGGAAAATGGATGTAACCACGTCTTATAGTCTTCAGATGATACTAGATGAAAAATAGTCAGTCTTTCTTGAAGGAGAGTTGTAATCAAGGACTGCTCACCTCCCATCCTACCAGGAGCACCAGTGTTTTGGACAGAAATGAGTAGAGATGGGCGGGGGGTTGTGGGCAGTCGGTGGGAGCCCATTCATGTCTGCGGTGCTCCCACACACTTGTCAGTGTGGGGGACTTTGCAGTGTGACGACACGAATAGGGCCACCACCACTGCCACCACATGGCATCTGTGATGTGGACATCCCAAAGCCATGGTTGTGCTCCATGGTTTGCTGGATGCTGTCTATTCTAAGAAGGAGATGTAGTTAGGTATTATTTTTCCCTCTTCCCTAAGTGTCTCTTATGCCAAGTGAAATAAGAAGCATTCCACAGTGATAATTCTGCTACCCAAGGAACATACTGTTTTGTTAAAAAAAAAAACCAAACCCAGTGCCTAATAAACTATATGTTACTTTCCATTCCAGGAGTTTGTTAAAATAACACATAGATGTGACCACTGAATGATTCTCATTTAGCTTCTCCATACCCTGTAAATCAAATTCAACCCACCAGTTTGGCTTGATACAGACACCTGAATAATAACAAATAAAAAATTAAGTAAGTGGTTTTAAATGTCTGCTGTTGGCTGCTGAACACCCACCTCTTAAACTAGGCTCTTTGAGAATGACTTGGGGTTGCATGCCAAATCTCAGCTTATGATGTACACCAAATGAACCTTCTTTGTTTATTCATTTCTGCGTGTTCTATTGTAAGTATTTATTGAGGGTTTTTTTACTAGCAATGGGTTACTCTGAGGCATGTGAGTGACGAATGTAACACGTCAATATGGGTATCTCTGGGTGAATCATAGATGGTTTTTCTTTTTGGTGGTTTTCTTGGTCAGAATTTAAGTGAAAATCAGTATTAAATCCATTTTTTATTCACAGACTATCGTTAGAGGAAATAAGCCTCGAAAGGATACTTCAATCAACGGCCTACTGGAAGAGTTTGACAATATCTCAGTGACACGATCTAATTCCCTGCGGAAGGAAAGTCCTCCCACCCACCACCAAGGAAACTCAAACCATGTGTCGAGGCACCAGGAGGAAAATGGCTATATCACGTATTCCCAGTACTCCAGTGAGTCAGACACTACCACAGACTATGTCGTGGAAAAATATCAAGACAAGACTCTTTACGGGGAAGAGTTAGACAGGTACTACAAAGGGAGCTATGCTGCCAAGCAGAACGGGCACATGATGAAGGTGACTTCCCGGGACATCTATTATTCGGAACTGACGCCCCTGCAGTCAGACCTCTCCAGATTTCTTCCAGATTACCATGCACACCTGGAGACGAAGCCCAAACCTCTGGAATACGGTGGCCTAAAGCTGGAGTATCAGCGGATCCCCAGTGGATCCTCCCTGGACTATAGAGATCCCTTTCCTTACACCCCGTCCCGAGCGTCGGTGCAGAGCGAGTGCCCCAAGGAGAGGCTGGAGTACAGCGACGGCGACTGGGGACATGGCCTGAGCAAGGACGACTATGACAAGAGGCCAAAATCCTCCTACGTCGACCCGGCAAGCCCTCAGCCAGCAATGAGGCAGAGGTCCAGGTCGGGCTCTGGTCTGCAGGAGCCAGCCATGCCCTACGGAGCAAGCGCTTTCAAAGCACACCAGCAAGGACATTCCTACAGCTCCTACACCTACCCCCGCCTGTCTGAAACCGCCGCAGGCATCCCCAAGGTAAGGTGACGTCCCTGGTGACAGTGCTGCTGGGGCAGGGATCAGCCTCTCCAAAATGGGAGTGCAGAAAATAAAGTGTGTGCAAAAACCTAAAGGCACGGAGCCATGCTGGGCGTGCGATGCTGAATGCAGGCAGTGATGTCCTGGGGAGCTGCGTGGCTGCCACTCAGCTGGCGTGAAAACCCAGCTGCTTTACTTGGGTATCTGAAAATGGGAGTCAGGGACCAGTGGGTTTAAGATATTTATGAAAAGGCAGGTTTGGAGATGCCCAGTATCCAGGGGTTTTACTTGGGATTCCCAATAACCCCAAGTTATTTGGCAGTTCTGTAGTGTTAGGAGTTCATACGCCTTGAGAGAGCTCAGTGGGAGATGAGAAGCTGCTCTGGTTTGTGTATCAGATACTTCTGTATTTGAATTGTCACTGTGCAAGGTTTAAACCTTAGTGTTTTAGTATTTATATTGTATTTATGCTATATTTATATTACAAGGTTTATTTTGTAACATTTTGCCATTAATGAAAGTAGGGGCTTACCCCTCTCCACTTTGTTTTGTGTTAAGCAGTGAAAATTGAAGTAGCTTATCTCGCCCAAGGCGTGTTAGATGTAGTCAAAAAAAAGAGGTTAAGGTGCAAAAAACACATTTAAACCAAGCAGCTCGTCTGCAGTTGCAGACCCAGAAGAAGTACCAGTTCTCTGCAAATCCATAATAGCCCTATGCCTGAGCCTGGCTTTTGCTTGTTCAGGTTTTGGCTGCTTTGCTGATCGTGGGCTACGGTCTTACAACCAGTGCCCCATGGTCAAGGGAGAGTGATGAGGTTTTATTCCACATTGCATTAAAGCACAGAGCTGGGCTTTGGAGTTTGAGGATAAATTGTGGAAGGAGTAGAAAAGTTACCCAAGTCTCTGTGCATGCCTTGCCTGAGCTTAAGGTGTGGTGGGAGGGATGCCTGTGGGTTGTTAACTGTGCGCCAGAATATGGATTCTGGAAGTTGTGAGGAAAGCCTGGATGGGCTATCTGCCATTTCCTTCATTGAAAGCAGTCATTTTGTCAGTTTAGAAACGAGAAGGACAACTCCAGTAATTCATTGACTCTCTTGCACCTACTCCTGCCAGTTTTACAGCATTCAGTAGGGCAGAAGACAGAGGTGTATTTTACAGGACTCAAAGCACTCCAGACACTTTGAAAAATATCCCATTAAAATGCAGTAACAACTCTTATTAAAAAAAAAAAGAGGCCTCTGTGCAAGATTCATTGTGAGCTGTTTCTCTCCTCAGAGCATCCAAAACACTCCTACAGCCTTGGCGTATTGAAACTTGATGATTCACTGTTAAATGCAGCAGTTTCAATTCCCAAACCCATCCACAGCTCCTGGAAGTGAATAGCAGTTTCTTGTCTGGGATGATTGCTGAAGAGTCTTCTTTTCGAGGAGGCATCAGTAAGATAATGGTTCATCAAATGGGTTTACTAAATGAGAATCAGGTCTCGAATCAGATATTTTACAAATGAGATTGGCTTTAAAGTAAAATTAAAAGGGGGAAAAAAGTGAGCAGTGAGAAAGTTTGCAGTCACAAATGTACGGATTCAAAATGCATTTAACAAAGATGTTCATTTGGGCTTGTATATGTGAAGAGCAGACTTACTTCAGTGTTATTTTCAGGTGAGAGGTGTCAGATAAATCAAATGTTTGCCCTGTCTCATTGTCAGTGATTTCAGAGGTATTACATCAGAGGACTCCTGCTGCGCTGGGCTTGGCCATCGCTGTGCAGTGGGACTGTGGAGCTGTAGGAAGCCAAAGGCTCATATTTGGTTCTCCCTCTGATCCAGAGGGAGCAGCGTGTGCTGTTACTCTCACAACATGTAGGTTACATCCCAGTTTGATCAATGGAGTCTCCTCAATACTGTCACATGGTGTCAAACCCATCCTGCCAGATCTGCTTATTATACAAAGTTTTTTTCCTGTTTTTGGACACTGTATACTGCATGTTTTCCTTGTAGCCTCCTCTTCATCGCAGGCAGTCCTCAACTTTCTGCACTGGATCCTATAATTTCAAAGTTCTTTTCCCTGTCATTTTTCAGTAGCAGCTCTCCACAACCCTCTCCTCTCCCTCCTCCAAGGGGCCATGATTTCTGCTCTCCCCTTCCCTCCCTGGTGCTGCTGTAACATAGCAAAGATTTCTCTCTAACCTGGCCACTGCTCAGTACCACCATCTTCCTGCTCTGCATTTTGCAGGCACTTTGTGCCGGGAGGACATTTCCAGCCCATTGAAGGCAGAGCCAAGCCTTTATTATCAGAAACCCTCTCCTTTTTCCCCGTTTTCACGTTCACATGTCTTCCCACAAAGAAGACCTGCCACCATGACACGGAGTCTCGTGGAGATTTTCACCAGCGAAGCACCAGAGAGTAACCTTTCCCCTTGCCATCTCCGTGTGATTTACAGACCATCTCTCCCACAGCTTTTACTTCAGCAAACTGAAAGCTCATCCAAGGGAAATCCCTTGTACGTTCACTGGAAGGTGAGCCCATCTCTCCAGGGGCTTGCTGCTCCCCTGGGAGGGTACAGGCTGTGGCTGCCATCCGTGCCGCAGTCCCCCTGCAGAGTGTGCAGGGACGCTTGCCGGATGGGAAGGATGCCCCGCCGGGAGGGTACCTACCCCTTACACACAAGCAGGTGTTTCCTCCGCATGCGGTACAGCACGGGCATGGCTGCCATCAGAGCAGAAACTGAAATGAGTTTAAATATGCTGTTGTGGCCACCTTTTAACAGCGAAAAGAGCCGGCTGCCGACGGCCGCGTGTGGCTGCGGGTGATGCTGTGGAGCTGCTGGAGCAGCGGGGTATCGCCCGGCGCCGTGATGGATGGCGTGTCACAGCTTCGGCTGCTCCCTTGACCTGATCCTGAATGAGAGCAGGGCTGGCTTCTCCTTTCCTTTGTAGTCTTTAAAGCATTTCCTTTCAGTAGGTAATTGCGTTCAGCAGCAGAAATAGAATTATTAGTGGAATCAAGTGTGTTCGATTTTGCCGTGATGTGAAGCACTGCGGCAGGACACAGCCGCAGAGGAGAGGTTTGGCTGATTCACTCATTTTAGCTCCTGTTTCTTTGTAGGATTTCATGGGATTCAGGACGGGAATGGGTTTGCATTGTACTGCAATTCTAACCCCAAAAAGCTTTCAGAAATTCGTAGCAAGCACACCGAACCTCTGAATTTTCATTTTAAAATTTCACTGCAGAATTTACTTTTGCCAATGCGCTAAGCTTAGGATGTGCTCGGAAATATCAGGCACTGGCAAAGCCTCAAATAATTCATTGCTGTGGATTTATCCAGGTTGGCTTTCCCCATCTCAGTAGTTAAAAGAAAATGGTGTATTTACAGCCAAAGCGGTAATTGATGTGTCCCTACGTACACAGATATATAGGACAGGGCTAGATTGAGTTCCCCTCCCTCCACCAAACCATCTGAGCACTTCTTCGTGTTAATTAGTTTGGCAGATGTAACGTCCTTCACAAAATTCGTGGTGTCTCTGACCCCTTTCTGTTTTATGGCTACCCCTGCCTGACGCAGTAGGTGACATTAGGGCTGAAACAGCAGCGGGACCCCGGGAGGTGGCTGCGTGGGGCTGTGACACGCTGGGTGCTCCGTGTGGCTGGGAGCTGTCAGCCCGCGAGTCGCAGGAGGAAGCAGATTCCAGCTTGGTGTTTCCGAGGGGAATCTCGGAGCGGCCCCTCTGGAGAGGCTTCCCCCCTTCCCTGCTCAGCCTCGCGAGATGGAGGGACGGGAAGCCCGGCTCACGCAGGAGGTGGGAAAGCGCTGCTGGAATATTGCGCTCGGAGGCTTTTCTCCCCGCACGCAGGCGGCTCCAGCAGCTCCTCCTGGCAGTGCAGCAGCCTACGCTGACAAATTGATGCTGCGGCAGATTTTTTTTTTTTTCTTTTCTCTTTTTTTTTTTTTTTGCAGTCTTAGCATAAAACGGTCAAATGATGTTCCACCGCAGAATTCAATTTCACAGTTCAGTTGGGTCCTTGATTACACTGCCAAATTCAGATTAATGTGCATTTAACTAACATGGATCAGGGACTCCTGGCCGGCAGCCAGCAGTAATAGTAGCAACTGTGAGCTGTGTAGAGTTTGCTGCTCTGTCCACCCCTGTGCACCGCCACCGAAATTGATTGATTACATGAATTCATTGCCGTAATTATTTGTAATTGTGCTACATCATGAGCCTGTGTCAAACCACCCCCCTGCCCCGAGATGCTCCACACGTCGTCAGGAGTCACATATGTTGTGTCGTAAATATGGAGATAGTCTTTTCTGGGAGAAAAAAAATATTTTTGCTTTTTTTCTTAGATTCTTTTTTTTTTCAGTTTGGATAGAAGCAAGCTATTGTATTTGTGAGTGTGAAGTAATTCTTTGCTTTCAGTGTAAGAAGCTTAGAATAGCTTGGAAAATGAAAAAAAGGAACCTGCAAATGAACAAGGCCTCCTATTGGGATAATTTCCTCTGCGATTGTCTCTGATTTCAGATGAAAATTAGTGGTTTTGTGACACTGCAGTTAAGCAGTATGTCACTCTGGAAAATGATTTAAGAAATGGTAAATTGAGTTAGGCTCCTCGTCACACTCGGATGTGCAGTCACTCAAACAGCAGCCGGTAGCTGGGCAAGGCAGGAGGTGACGGGGATTTCAGGGTACCACCACCTCCACAAGAAGAGGTTGGGTTATCCCTGAATTGCTGGAGAAAACCGTAAGAAAAGACTTGAGTCTCAAAACCCAGGAACTGCTATTTGAAAGGAAGGGCACAAAGTGGAATTTGCCAAAGGACTTCTGGCTGTGAAAGGGATGAAATGTTGAGGGAAATGGCCCAGAGAGCCTGCAGGACACTGCAGATATAGAGCAAATACACTTTAGAAGCATACGCTTTCATTGAACAAGGATTATTATATCTACAAACAGGTACCTGGACAGAAAAGTGGACCTGAGATGCAGAAAAGATCTCATGGTCTTCCCTGGGCTCATTTTAGTGCTTATGAGAGCACAGAAGCCCAGTGGTCTAAAGATCTCTTTTCAGACACAGGGCAGCACTGTCATGTTGAGAAGAACGGGTACGTACGGGAGCACGTTGTGTCAGCTCTTTCTGAGGATGCTGAAAACCCACCGAGTGGATGGACAGCAAGAAAGCTCTGTTCAGCCACGTTCTCTTGTCTGTGTTTGCGTTGCAGGTGGATTATGATCGAGCGCAGCTGGTCGTTAGCCCACCGCTCTCCGGATCGGACACCTACCCCAGGGGCCCAGTAAAGCTACCTCAAAGTCAGAGCAAAGTCAGCTATTCCAGCAGCAGCTACCAGTACCCTCTGGTCTACCACAAGGCATCCCACTATCACCAGCCGTCTCTCCAGCCCAGCTCTCCCTATATTTCCACAGCCTCCTACCCCAGCTCCCCAAGTATCACATCAAGTGCTTACCCTCCACCCAGCTGGGGATCCTCCTCAGACCAGCAGCCCTCCAGGGTGTCCCACGAACAGTTCAGAGCTGCCCTGCAGCTTGTGGTCAGCCCCGGTGACCCCCGGGAGTACTTGGACAACTTCATCAAGATCGGGGAGGGCTCCACAGGGATTGTCTGCATCGCCACCGAGAAGCACACGGGAAAGCAAGTCGCTGTGAAGAAGATGGATCTCAGGAAACAGCAGAGAAGGGAGCTGCTTTTTAATGAGGTACGTTGTTTTGGGTGGTACGGTGGGTTTTGCAGGCAGTAGGTTCAATGGGAGATGTGGGCTAAATGGAAACCTCAAGACCCAAATTATTATCTTTCTAAAAGAGGTGGTGAGTCACACGTACATCTATGCTGTATAAATATTGTGTAACTGGACCAGTTTCAGATGAGCTGCATCTCCTCCTGGCTTTAAACCTATGATAGGGTGGGAAGTCAGAGTAAACAGCTAAGAAATCTATTGGCTGGTCCGTGCAGCAGATCAGGTGCACAGGCAGAACCAGCTGCCTTTTTCTGACCATTTGCTGGTCAGAAAATAGTTTATTCTTCTAAGTTGGAGGCTCCAAACGAGCCGGACTGTTCAAGAAGCCCGTGCACCCTATTCTGGCATATACATGCTTTTTGGTTCCTCCCTCCTTCCTCTCCTCAGCCCCTTTGCTTTCTTGATGATTACCTAGCAAAGAGCTGATGGGCACTCCTTCATGGAAACATCAGTCTTATTCCCACATCTACTTTCCTGAGCGGTTGCAGCCAGTTCAGACCCCACAGCTGCTTGCGGAGGACAATTTTCCCCACATACTTTATTTTAAATTTAAGAACACAGGTTCTCATTTGTCATTTTTTCACCTAGTTACTTGGTGCTGTGAGTTCCTTCTGCAACTCAAAGTGTTTCTCCTTTTTGTCTTACTCCCTTAAAGAAGCTCGTGGTGAGTGTTCTCCGCTGTGAGATCACTTGTGAATATGCTGATCAATGCCAAAAATGCCACAGGTCCCCAGGGAAACCAACAGCGAGCACAAACCTTTTGCTTCTGTCATTTTTTTCCTGTACTTTTAACTATAAGAGGCTCTTCCCTCTGCACGTAACAGACTGGTTTCTTTAAAACCTTTAAAAACTTTAGATTTTTTAAATCAAAACATTAGTTATTATTAATAATAATTATTATATATTTCTATATATAATTGTATATCCTATATTGTTATATAAATATATGTTTAAAATAAATATTATATAAATATAAAATATATTTATTATTATATAAATATATATATTAGTATTAGTATTAAAAAATAAACTTCACACAGTTCTCCTTTGCACAGTCCATGGCTGTGCTGGGCATTTTGGCTTTGTTTTGCCTCTGCTGGAAGACTGCACTGGATTGGGTTGTGGTAGCTCTAACCGAGCATCTCCTGAACGGTAACATCTTGATCAGGTCCTACATGCTGTGCAGGACCAAGCTGCTTCCCTGACACGCTCCAGTCACTCGTGTCATCTGAAATTCCTCCATCTATAATGAAGCCTTCCCTGGCTGTTGTTTTCTCTCCTGCTCGCCTTCCTGGCGTCCCTCAGTCCCCCGTGGGCACGGTCACCACCTTGGCTGGGCTGCTGGTACTGTGGTCCTAATTCTGCAGTCCCTTTTAAGTGCGGGCTTCCAGCCATCTTATGAATGTCCCCTGTATTGCCAGTATTCTGGTAAAATTCTATGCAAAGTGCCGTTTGATGCATGATGAAGACTTTGATGGATTGAGCAATTGATCAGGTCAAAAAAAAAAACAAAACACAAATCTCTGTTGTACCAAAAGCAACAGGCAATAAAAAAGCAATGAAATAAACAGTCCAGTTCCTGCAGCCTGAAAAAAATGCAATTATCTACCACTTATAATTTAGGAACTAAAGATTCTCCTTCTTCCTAATGCGTTTATGATGACTGTTATTTTTATGTAAATATGTTGATTTTGTTTATGCGTTGGCTTAAGGATTAGGGAGGATGTGATTCACAGCAGAACCTTTACTAAGCACAAAAAGAAAAGTAGAGTGAAAAAGAAGGTCAAAACAAGTGTCAGATAATGCTTGTAGCAATTCACATAGTGTCTTCTTCACCCTCACAGGTTGTAATCATGAGAGATTACCATCATGAAAACGTGGTTGACATGTACAACAGTTACCTTGTTGGCGATGAGCTGTGGGTTGTGATGGAGTTTCTGGAGGGCGGCGCTTTGACAGACATAGTGACTCACACCAGGTGGGTTGGGCGCCTGGCGCGGGCACCAGCGGCGTCAATCCCGGAGCGTGAGCTGGGAAGGAGGGAGGGAGGGAGGGAGATGCTGTGGATTTCCATCACGGATGCCTCCAGACCGTGCCCTCCGGACCTCACCTCCTGCTGGGCACTTCCTGGCTCTGTATATGTATTTTTACATAGATACATTTGTTGCTGTATATTTGTATTTACATACACAATGCTATAGGCAAAAGAAAAATACATACATGCATACAATATACATACATGGAAAATTATCTATAAATAAATATGTATGTAGGTGTATACATATATGCATATGTGTGTGTATACACATATATGTGTGTGTGTATATACACACACACTTTAGCACGCTCACTATTCTAGCATAAATAAACCACTGCAGATAAATTTCCATCAGTACTGGATTTTTTAAAATAGAAGGGAAAAGAAATACCTGAAAGGGCCTATTGGTGGATGGGGATTTGCCAGCGCTTTAGGAGGTAATTTAGCAGTGACAAGACTTTCATCCATTAGTTTCTCAAATGGCAAAAAAATACCTTTTCCCTGTTTGGTGGCCTGTACTGTTGATCTTGCTGTTGTAACTACACCAGTTGTAAGGGTGATTTCTCACCATAGTCATAACCCGTGTAACCACGCTGCCAGAAGTGTTTGCAAACCAAACCAAAGACACAGTGGGAAGAGTATTTTTATATCAGAATATTTGTGCTTAAGGTAGAGCTTGTTCCCATATTTCTGTTAATAGTGTATTCTCCAGCACAAAAGCTGTAGTGTATCGAACCGCTTTTCCTCTTCTGAGTGAAGACATCGGATTTTACAGCCCTCTTTACATCTGCTCTTCACTCATCTTTTCCTGATAAGCAGGATAAAATGAGATAGGGAAAAAGAAGTCTTTATTTAATTTATTCTTCTTGAATTAAAAAAAATAAAGTCCCACACCGTTCTAGTAGGGGAGTATTTAAGTGAGTGAGAAGAAAAGCAAGGAATAGTAAATTAGAGGAGTTATCTTCTCTCATAGTTTAATGATGCTCTTAGATCCTACCAAAAGCAGAATTGCAATAGGGGTATTTTAATTTTTAGTGTTGCCTTAGCTGACGTGCTGAAATAAATCACAATATTGCAAGTCATTTGTTAACTGGTGCTCAATGGATTCAAATCCAGCTGGCGGCCGGTCACTAGTGGTGTGCCTCAGGGCTCAGTGCTAGGACCATTTCTATTTAACGTCTTTATTGATGATCTCGATAAGGACATAGGGTGTATCATCAGCAAGTTTGCAGATGATACCAAGTTAAGCAGGAGTGTTGACTCCCAGGAGGATAGGAAAGCCCTACAGAGGGACCTAGAGAGATTGGATCACTGGGCCAAGATCAACGGCATGAGTTTCAACAAGGGCAAGTGCCAGGTCCTGCACTTGGGCCACAACAACCCCCTGCAGCGCTACAGGCTGGGGGAAGTGTGGCTGGAGCTGCCTGGAGGAAAGAGACCTGGGGGTTCTAATTGACAAGTGGCTGAATATGAGCCGGCCGTGTGCCCAGGTGGGCAAGAAAGCCAACGGCATTCTGGCTTGTATCAAAAATAGTGTGACCAGCAGAAGTAGGGAGGTGATTATGCCCCTGTACTCGGCACTGGTGAGGCCACACCTCGAGTATTGTGTCCAGTTTTGGGCCCCTCAATACAAGAGAGATATCGAGGTGCTGGAGCGAGTGCAGAGGAGGGCAACGAAGCTGGTGAAGGGCCTAGAAGACAAATCATATGAAGAGCGGCTGAAGGAGCTGGGGCTGTTTAGTATGAGGAAGAGGAGGCTGAGGGGAGACCTCATCACCCTCTTCAACTACTTGAAAGGACACTGTAGAGAGGCTGGTGCTGGTCTCTTCTCACAGGTAATTAACAATAGAACGAGAGGGAACGGCTTCAAGCTCCAACAGAGTAGGTTTAGATTGAACATTAGGAAGGAATTTTTCACTGAAAGAGTGGTCAGACACTGGAATAGGCTGCCCAGGGAGGTGGTTGAGTCACCGTCCCTGGATGTGTTTAAGGGACGTTTAGATGCGGGACTGAGGGGTATGGTGTAGGGGAGGACTTTGTAGAGTAGGGGAGAGGGTTGGACTCGATGATCCCAAGGGTCTCTTCCAACCTCAATGATTCTATGGTTCTATGATTATAACTACTGCTCCCCAAAACATTAAAATCTCTATCTTTGATATTTCTGACAGGAGTTTAATGGCAAACAGATGTTCCCAGGACACCACTTCTTAAGAGCTGTCATCTATTTTTTTTACTCAAAATAGTTCTTCCTTAATATTCTGGGGTTTTTTTTACATTGCATGACCTTCCCTCAAAGATTTTGCTAAAGTACTGCAAATGGCACACAAAGCTATAGCAGAAATCTTCATGGGTATTTTTCTGGTCTCGCAGGAGAAATGCTGGGGACACCCAGTGACGGGGCAGCGGGGTCAGGGTACAGCACCCCTGGCATCGCACTGCAGCAGACGGTTTCCTTCAGAATAGGTTCTGCACGTGTGCACAGGAATTAGGACTCTTGCTGTCTATTTTTCTACTACAATAACCTGAATATTTTTTAAAGAAGGCCTAAAAGCAAAGGAAGTGCTCTTGAAGAGCTGCACCAGGGCCCGATGTTCTGTCTGTGCAATTAAGAGTGTTTTTTCTCATATTTATTCCATGCTTGTTTCCATCCCAGTAGTGATTTACTCTCCTTGGCAAGCACTGAGTTTACTGTAAATAAGGCATTTCTGTTATTTCCCAGAGGGAAACAGGCTCACTCTACCAGGCTACATCACATAGTACACTCTGCATTTTTAGTGCTGCGGGGAGACTTATCCACACCTTGTTGTAGAGTTGTCCCTCACCCCTCATCTCCCCTTTTTTGACAGAAATAGGACCAGAGAATCACCCCACAGAGCTGTTGCCTAAAGGGATCTCCTGGCTGGCTCTGTACTGGCATGATGGGGGACTTGCACCTCTTCACTCCAGCTTCCCTCTCCCGCTGGCTTCGTTAACACTCCGCTCATTTTTCCCCCTTGCTGTTGCAGGATGAACGAGGAGCAGATAGCGACCGTCTGCCTGTCTGTTCTGAGAGCCCTGTCCTACCTGCACAACCAGGGCGTCATCCACCGCGACATCAAAAGCGACTCCATCCTTCTCACAAGCGACGGGAGGGTGAGTGCACAACATTTCCCCTTCCACCTCTTGGGGCTGGCATGAGAATAGCTGTGCATGTTCAAAGTGACATTAACTTTAAAATAATAAGCCAGGCATGTGAAACCAAGGGATCCAATCTGTGAATAACTTGCTAGAGAGGTAAATCAGAAAACCACACGCCTAGCCAGTGGTTGGCATCTGCTTTGCGGGGGCGGGGGGGGAGTTGAAGCCATCAAAAGGCAGTGGCAGAAGAAACTATTCCACATGGGTGATGCTTAGGTAATGGGAGGCCTTTTATGCTGCAACACTCTGACTCTGATGCCTCTCAAAACCACCTTTTTACTACATTTAGTTAGCCTTTAGTTAGCAGGTTTTTATACCTTTGCTGTTTTCCCAAGCTCGTTAGGAGGCTGACATCAGTCTATATGAATAGGACAGAATATTGTGTGTTGCTGCTGAAACACTCCCCTGATGGTGAGGGCAGCTTTTACCATAGATCCATTTACATGGTGCTTGATAATACCTGTCCCCATGCTGCTGCCTACTTGGATGGGCTGCTGCTGGCAGTGTATTGGTTGCTCTTTGTGAGAAGGGAGAGGGAGTGCTGCACGTGACCTGCTCAGTAAGCAAAATAAAGTTTGCACTCAAAAAGAATATTACATCAGCAGTGTTTGGTCCCAAAGAAATTGCTATTCCCTTACAAGGAGAAAGGTGGACTTGTGTTCTGGTATTTCTGGGCACACACAGCAGTAAAACATGAGGCACCTAAAGCTTGGGGCACCCAAAGGCTTAGGCAGGGGGAAGCCAGTCGCTCATAAGACCCTAATTTTTGCTTGAGTGAGGCACTAATTTGCATCTCACCTTGTGGCCCTGTTGAGATAACTTGAGTAAAACCCAATGGCCAGTGAGCCCCATAAGCAGGGCTTTAAGGGTTACTCCACTGGCGTTACACACCCGTCTAAAGCAAGACTTGGAGGGTTGGACTGAGCCCAAGATCACCTGGTGGGTCTGGAACCAAACCCAGATCTTCTCCCTCAGAAGGTAAAACTCTTGGCTTCCCAGGCCTGGTCTGATTCCCTAATCAAAGGCTCACCTTCATCATTTGATTCCCACTTCACTGAGGGAGTGGGATTTTCTTCCTGCAGTGGTCACAGGCTGCTCCTGTTAATCCTGTCAGGGGGAAGAAAATTCCACGTGTGTAGGAGTTTTTCAGTTGCAATTTCAATCTGTGTTGCTGAAATAGCATCTGATCTGCTCTCGGGATCTGCATACAGTGCCTCATTATACTCATTACTCCAGTACTTATTATCTGCATTGCAGATTTCTTCATGGCTGTGTTGTGCAATTATCTTTTTTTAGAAAATCGTCTTCTTTTATGTACTCGAATGAGCAATAGATATGCAAAACCTCTTGTGCTCCTACAAAAGAAGATTGGGCTCTGCTTCCAAAATATGCATTATTTCTTCCATTCTTCATGCTGTAAACTGAAAAATACATTTACCACGAAGAACTTGGCTATTATTGGCTTTGTTTTAGAAATACCAACAATCATTTTTGTAATTCTGTTAAAAATAATACCCTTAGTTTAAAAAAAGTAATGTCTGTACTAAATCCAAAAGAAAACAAATCAGTGCTGATAATAAAATGCTGGTCTACACAATGCAGGGATTTATGAAACTTTCCACTTCAGCTGTCCTCGGGCTGTTTGGGCTCATTTCATATCCCCAGGCACTGAGTATGTGATGGGATACGTGGCTTATGGGCCGTGGAGATGGGTTCACTGTGTGGTGTGTAGCTGGGGGTGATGGGGGTTTGCCTCAAGTCCAGGAAACCCCTTACAATAACTTGCAGGCCTCCAAATAAATACTGGGGGGGGAGGGGGAATCCAGCTGAAAAACTTCAGCCTTAAGGAACAAGCTGGTTCTGGAAGAGGGTGATGCCACCAACATTCAGAGCAGCTTGTTCTGGTTGGGGGTTGGAGGAGTTTTCACCTTGGCATTGTACAGCAGCGGGGAGGGGGAGGTGATAATTTTCCATAATTTTTGTTGTAAAAAAAACCTGGCATAAAAGTATGAGCAGGCACATGATGCAGCAAGAGCTGCTCTCCGGAGTGCTTGTGTATCCCATTAGTTCTATTTCAGGTCACTGCCACAGCTACTCAAGGACAGTACTGTCTTTAATTCCCAAGCTCCCAAGCAAAGGGGGCAGGTGCCCCATGCCTCTGGTGACCATTTTGGAGGAGTCTTCCCTGCCTTCCCCACATTAGCTCCCTTACTACATAAAGGAGACAGTTTCTTTAGCAATAGTCCACAGCGTGAGGTCCTGGTCTTAAAAAGGCATTGGCGGGGGGTAATGCTTTCTGTCTGTTAGCTCATGCTCTCTGTGGTAACAGAAAATGGGGTGAATGACACTTGTTTCATCTGTTTTGCTGTCAAACTCACAAATTGTATACCTGGTACAAATAATAGGAAGGGTGCATCACTTGCAATATGTGTATTATTAAATATTAATATACATACAGAGACTACAAACATGGGGCTTCTATCTATGCAGTAATAGATTAATTATAAAATACCATTACTTCAGAATTTTTTGCTTGCCTTCTATTTTTTAATATTCTTCTAAGCTGTTTGTCACCTCCACATATTTTGGTGGTGGAGAGGCCACGAGCTGTGACAGGTGATCTCAGTAACAAGTGCCGCTGCCGCTCTCCCCTACATCTTTTCCTTGCCTGGGTTTCAGCCACGCGCTCCCCGGGCTGTGTTGCTGTCTCCAGCCACACTTCCAAAATTGTGCTGCTGTCCCATGCCAGGCGACTGCCACAGCTCTGTCCCTGTCCCCCCAGCTGCGGCTGGGGATGTGTCTCTTGGAGACGTGTGTGTCTCGGAGGAATTTGCCTTGTTATTCAAGAAGGACTTACTCTTTTTCTTTACTTTTCAGATAAAATTGTCCGACTTCGGGTTCTGCGCCCAAGTGTCAAAGGAGGTCCCCCGGAGGAAGTCACTGGTTGGGACACCGTACTGGATGGCACCGGAGGTGATATCCCGCCTGCCCTATGGCACCGAGGTGAGGACAGGGGGGAGCACCACACGCCCACCCCCACCCACAGGGGCTCTTTTCCCTCTGCATGGTGCCTTGGTTGACTCCACCAAGCCCAGTGAGAAACCTACAGCTCAAATGCATTTATGCAGATATGCTGAAGTGCAGCATCAGTATTTGCAGAGGCCTGCAGGCAGAGATCTGCACTGCTTTCATGCAGCTAAAGCCTGAGATGCCCTTCCTGTGGAGAGCATGGGCCTGTAGGGTCCCCAGCACAGCAGCCAGCTGGGTGGGCTGGGTTCCCTCCCTCTGCCTCTGCATCAGCTCATTCCTTGCACTCTATTTCTGATTAGTTGACAGGGATGGG